GGTCCAGGGGTCTCTGAGTCTCAGAAAAGCTGAGGCCCTGTCTACCTGCCCACACCCTACCTGGCCAGGTGCCCAGGAATTAGCAGCTTAGCTTAAATCCTGGGGCTTCAGCGAGGCTTATCAGAGGCGCCACTCCAGGAGCCTTGTGGGTGATTTGGCACGCTGTACCTCCGGCTGTCTTGGTCACCACTGATTGCTGACTCTCACCCTGGCTGGCTGCCTACTCCTCTGCCCCAGTGCAGTGGATGGGCTGAATTGCGGGCAGGCGGCCAGCTTTGTGCATTGTGGGCCTGATGGGGGTGGAGGAGCAAGGCCGAGGGAACACCTTTATTTTCCTGCAGAATGGTGCCCCAGAAACGAGCCCCTCCTGGCCTGGAGCCGGTCCCTGCCTCCTGCTGGGCAGAATAGGCCTCTGATGTGGGTCTTGTGTGGAACTGGGCTCCTCTCGGAGCCTGTCCCCTATTCAAGTGCACTGTGAATTGTAGTGCCCAACTCAGAGCCTATTGACCGTGGAGGACAGGGGCTGTGGGGTGTGGGGGTACACATAGGAGACAGGTGACGGGAGACCTGTGGTGACAGGCAGGGAGCTGAGCCACATGTAGTGGGTGCTTCTCATGAAGAACAAGGCTCCTGTGGACTGAGCACCTACCGGCCCTGCCTTTTCCGTGTGGTCTGTGTGATGGTCTCAGTGGTCCTGTGGTAGCAGTGAGTGATCAGCCTGCCCCCCAGGGTGCAGCTGGGTCAGAACCCAGGGATCCTGCTCGCTGGTCATGGCTCCACAGTTGGTCCTCCCAAACCTATTGGAATCTAAAGTTAGTGTGGGAAGGGTTGGTGGGGAGAGCATGGACTTTGGGGCCTGGAAGGTCTTGGTTGGTGTTTCAGTTCCACCATGACTTGTTATGTGACCTTAGAAAGTCCCCCTACCTCTCAGTTTCCTCGTCTGTGGAGATGCTGCATCCCTGTCGCGAGCAGGAGATGAGGTGATGGGTGTGGACATACCTGTGCATTACGGAATGCTTGTGGACGATATGAGTGTCCTTCGAGACTACTGGGGAGAATGTACTTGAACCCTCAAGACGGTGGGGACTGTGGAGCGGCCGAGTGCCACATAAGTGTGTTAAACAGCAGGGGTTCCCTCCATAGCAGCTTTAACCACAGGCAATGACACTGAGGGTAATGATCCCATTTACAATCACCCTAAAGCTGGTAATATATCCAGGATTGACTCTGACAAGGAAAGTGCAGAATTCATATGAAGAAAGCAAAGACACTTTATTAAAAACATTGAAGGAAAACTTGAAGACATGGAGGGAAGATTCCATGTTACAGGAAGAGAAGGGCTGACGTGGCCAAGAAACCATGACAGTAACCTTGGTGACCATTTATTCTCCATACACGAATCCATAAAACCAGTGCAAGTCCAGCTGTTTAAAAAAAAGGAACTTGATAAGCTGATTCTAAAGTTTTCCTGAAAGACAAGTGTATGAGAAACAGATAAATAAAGAGGGGAGGTGTACTTGCTATAACACATATTCCAACATTAGAGTATCTCAAAGAGTATGATGTGGGTGCAGGAAAAGACAGGAAGCTCAATGAAGTGTGAAAGAGACCAGAAGCCGTGCCCTGATTCTGTTTCTAAGCTACAGAGGACAGGTGGACTATTCACTAATAGTACCATATTGTGGCCTTTGGGTAATAATTTAGCAAAAATTAAACTAGATCCCTACCTCACACCATGCACAAAAATAAGTTCCAGATGCTTTACAGAGCTTTTATATATCCAAATCTTGTGTGAGCACTAAAGAACCTATTGTCTGTCTATCTATCTATCTATCTATCTATCTATCTATCTATCTATCTATCTATCTATCTTCTATCTAAATAAAATTAGAAGACATAGGAATATATTGCTATAATCTTGAAACTGTGCAGATCCTTCTTGAAATGCGTACAACTTAGCAGCCATAAAGGAAAAGACTCATTTAACCACATAAAATTTTTCTAAAAAATCTGTTTAACAAAAGGCACTTTAGAAAAAGTTAAAAGACAAATGACAGGAAGAAAACATGTAGAACAGCTGGAAAAGTGAGACTGGGAGGGGCATTTAGGGGAAGAAGTGGGCTGTTTACAGGTTCACGGTTCATCAAATCTCAGTATGATGTGGCTTTTTAATAACGAGAATGGTTCTCATAAAAACTACGGAAATAATGCCAGATTGAACATGTATGGCTCCCAGGTCCACTGCTTGCTGGAAGGGAGCAGGGAGAGGCAGGAATTGGAGGCCACCGGCCCTGGGGATCATTGGAGGGCAGGCCCTGAGGCTGGCTGCTGGATGGTCCACAGGGCTGGTGAGGAGCCTGGCAGATGGCCAGAGGGGCAGATCCTGCAGCAGGGCAAAGCCTGGCAAGGGGCCCTCCCAAGAGGCAAACATATTTCCAATTTATCTGTCCTAATGTCCAGCTGGACCTATGCCAGCCTCTCCACCTGCCTGCCTACCCCTGCCTATATGAATTCCCTCCCTGGTAGGCTCCAGTCCCCATGCCCTTTCCGGGTTGGCCACCTGCCCCACTCTGGGGCCTTGCTTAGGGTCAGTGGCATTCCCTCCCAGAGGACTGGGCCTCCTATCACCTGCCTGGGGTGGGAGGTTGACAGTAACCTTGGTGATCATTTACCCAGCACCTGCTGTGTGCCCTGCACTGCGCTGACAACTCCATGGGCGGAGTCATGATAGGTTCTGGCAGTTAGATAGATACTGTTTTTAGCATTTCTGTAAACTCTCACATAAATACTATAACAGGTGGGCTCAGCTATGGTAAAGATTATGCATGCGAAATACGAGTGACAGGTTCAGGGAACAGAAACTTAATAAAAACATTACATCTGCAATCTAATACTATATAGTAATGACATGAAACATGCCATCAGAATTTATAGGATTTTCTTAGTTTCCAAAATATCCCAGATTTTCTCCTTTACAGAATTTAAGGTATTTTATAACTTCCCCACCCCCTCAATTTTTATTGTGGTAAAATGCTTACAACATAAAACATACCATCTTAACAATTTTAAGTGTACAGTTCAGTAGTGTTAAATACATTCATAATATTGTGCAACCATCACCACCATCCATCTCCATAGCTCTTTCCATTTTGTAAAACTGAAACTCTGTACCCATTAAATAATAACTCCCCATCCCACCCCCAGCCCCAGCAACCATCATTCTACTTTCTGTCTCTATGATTTTCTCTGTTTTATGAATCTCATATAATGCGACTCATACTGTATTTATCTTTTTGTGACTGGCTTGTTTCATTTAGCATTACATCCTCAAGTTTCATCCATGTTGTAGCATGTGTCAGGATGTCCTTTCTTTTTTAAGACTGAATAATATGCTATTGTATGTACATTTTTGTTTATCTATTCATCTATTGATGGACACCTGGTTGCTTCCACACTTTAGCTATTGTGAATAATGTTATGAACGTGGGTGTACAAATACCTCTTTGAGACCCTGCTTTCAATTCTTTCAATTCCAGGAGTGAAATTGCTGGGTCATATGGTAATTCTATTTTTAATTTTTTGATGAACTGTCATACTGTTTTCCACAGCAGCTGCACTATTTTACATTCCCACCAATAGTGCAGAAGGGTTTCAATTTCTCCACATCCTATTCAACACTTACTATTTTCTATTTTTTTGCTAGTAGCCATCCTAATGGGTGTGGGGTGGTATCTCATGGTAGTTTAGGTTTTACTTTCTCTAATGATCAGAGATATTGAACATCTTTTTATGTGCTTATTAGCCATTTGTATATCTTCTTTGGAGAAATGTCTGTTGAAGTCTTTAGCTCATTTTCGAATTGGTTTGTTTTTTGTTGCTGAGTTTTAGGAGTTCTCTATATATTCTGTTTATTTTATTTTATTTTATTTTATTTTAAAGATTTTTATTGCGGAATTGGGGGGATGGGAACAGTGCTGGGGAATCGGGGGAAGGGGAACAGACAAGTTGCTGTCCCTTCGTTCCTCAGTCTAGTTGCGGAGGACGTCGCCCCACTGGCCCAAGTTGGCACCATCATTGTGCTCTTCCTGGGCGAGGCACATCAGTCGCCGGCTTCTGGACGGCTGCTCACCGCGGCTGCTGGCCGCTCACGCTGGCTGCTGGCCACACACGGCAGCCCATGGCAACCCACTGCCACAGGGGCTGCAGCCCACGCCGTCGCCGGCAACCCACAGCAGCCCAGCTCCAGGTTGAGCCGCCGTTCAGCATCTTAGCTGTAGAGGGCAGTGTCACTGGCCCTCATATGTGGGATCCGAACTGGGGCCCTCTAGCGTCCCAAGCCAGTTCTTAACCATCGCGCCACTCGGCCGGCCCTATATTCTGTTTATTAATCTCTTATCAGATATATGATTTGCAAATATTTTTTTCCATTCTGTGGGTTGCCTTTTTATGTGGTTAATGTTGTCTTTTGATGCACAAAAGGAAACAGAAATGTTTATACATGGAAAAACTGAGCTCCAGAGAGGGTATTTTTCCTGCCTAACGCCACACAGTAAATCATTTGTATGATGTTGAAACACTCCAAGGTGGGTTTTCTCATTTCTCACCTCATCTGCTATAACAGCCATAATCCTGTCCCCATTGTACAGATGGGGAGACTGAAGCCCTAGAGAGCTGGGTCTTGCTCAAGGTCACACCTGGGCCAGGGGCAGAGCTCGACTTGAAGCCAGGGAGATGACTCATGTACAGGCGTCCGACTGCCTGGATTTGAATCCTCGTGCTGTCATTTCCTGGCTGTGACCTTTGGCAAGTCACTTTATTGCTCAGAACCTTCACTGTCCCCATCTGTGAAATGGGGCCTCATGGAGCTGTTGCGAGGGTACATGGGCACCCAGAACATAATTGATAATTGCTAACCGTGGCCTCAGACGTCAAATGCTAGCCCACTCTCACGCTCTGAGGCAAAGACACATAGATTTGGGCTGCGACGTGAAGAATAAACTTTAATCTCTCTCAGGATAGGGGCTCAGTTAGGCTGATCTCTGGGTGGGGTAACAGAGCCGTGCACTCGCACGCGGTATAGGCAGGTGAAGCGTGGGTTCCCCCAGTTGCTTGATATCTTCACCTTGACTGCTCCAAAAGTCCGGGACGGCTGGTTCTGGAAGAGAGTCACAGACATGGGGCAGCTCCCCCCTCGGCCCCCACTCTGCCTGTCCAGAAGTGCATTTGGGAGTAGAACGGATCCATTTCATAGGAGGGGAAACTGAGGCTCAGAGAGGGGAATGAACAGTCCCAGGGCCACACAGAAGCTGAGCCTCAGGGGCTGGGATGGAAGGTGCTGAGGCCAGAAGGACAGACATACTGTGTCTCAGTTTCGGGACCCTGGCTCATCTGGGCTTTGCTTCCCCCTCTGTGAGGTGGGAATGGTAATATCTGCTTCCCAGGGTTGCTGTGAATTGGAAAGGAGATCTTGGAACTGGACGGCTTACTGGCAGCTGGCACATAGCAGATGTTCAGGACTGGATGGTCTCGACCTCCCAGGGAATTACACAAGGGGAAACTGAGGCCCAGCGAGAAAGGGGATGGCCCAGATCACACAGAATTTGTGGTTGGGTCAGGATTTGGGCCAGTGTTGACCTGATTCCCAAGCCTAGACATTCCGCCGAGTCTCAGGGCCATTCCAGCAGTCACCCCTCTTGTCCTGCTTCTGTCCCCAGCTCCCGCCCCTCCAGGCCTCAGTTTCTCTAATTATGATTGGACCCAGTGCTGAGAATGGATCTCCCAGTGGTGAGACACTAAGTTTGAAGCCAGCATCCCTGGCCCCACAGGCCCCTCCTGCTCAGCATTTGATCTGCTGCTCCGGGGAGGGCTCCTGGGCAGACGAGGGCAATTGAGCGCCGCCACTGGCTGGTGGATCTCCTCAGGGTCCCACTCTTGGCACTGTGCAGTGGGGCCCTCACTCTGAGCCTCAGTTTCCTCATATGTCAAGAGAGTTAGTGATAATTGTGCACCTTCTGGGGCTGTTGGGGGATGAAGTGGGGTCCCCTGGGTAGAGCCCTGCACACAGTGTGCATCCCATAGGTACTCAGCATGGGCGGCTTTTCTTAGGTACCTGGAGCTGGAACATCTGAATGATGTTTTCTGGCTGAAACTGAAATGCCCCCAGGAACACTTCTTCTTTAGGGGAGCCTTCCATACCCTGTGGAATCAGAACCACGGAGAAAGTGTCAGGTACAGGAAGGCCTGTAGGGGGTGCCACCCTTCTCTAGCAGACTTGCACACCTCCCAGAATAGGGAGCTCCCTACCTCTTTGGGGACCATTCCATCGAAGCACAGAGTAATGGATAGGAAAGAACACTGGACTGAGAGTCAGAAGGCTGAGGGTCCACTTCTAACTCTGCTATTGACTTGTAGGATTTGGGTGTTTCCCTGACCCTTCTTTGGGCCTCAGTTTCCTTATCAGTGAAGTGGGGCTCAGTGGTCTCTGAAAACTAAATTGGCTCTGAAAAGCTTGGTTTGAAATAGGGTAGCTGTTTATCCCCTATCCTTGAAGGCCAAGATCTGACCCTGACCCTGGCCATTCCCAGGCTTACCAAAGCCTCATCTAGCCCCTGTAGCCTGCATGGATTGCACAGTTTATCACAGTGCCTGAAATACTGCCATTATGAGACTGTCCCCTTAGGTAAGCACTGCTCCCTGCGGGGTGTACTCACATAGATGACGAAGTCTTTGGGGGCAGTGTCCAGGCTGCCTGACAGTGAGATGGTCTTGGGGATGTGCTGCAGTGTCAGGTTGGACAGGTAGACCTTCTGGGCCAGTCGGATGGTCACCTGGCCGCGGTCACCCGAGAAGGCCCAGCAGTTGCCAGGTGTCACATTGGGCTGGAAGGGACAGATGCAATGGGGGCTATGCTGAGCGGGTGGGTGAGGGCGGATTCCTCATCCCACCCTGAATCTCCTAGACTTCCTTGGATGAGCCAGAGCTTTCTGGTCTACAAAGCTTGGCTCAAGTGCCACCACCTCCAGGAAGCTATCTCGACTTCCAACAGCAAGGATGAGCCGTCCCCTCTGCTCCGTGCAGTGAGGACAGGCGTCTGCTTGGGGGCCCTGAGGGTTCTCCGACCCTCAGTCTTGAGGGATGGGTGGGGGCCCCCTTCCCTCAAGGGACAGGCTGCCCCTGTCCCTGTGCCTTTTCCTTGCTCCTACCCAGTTTCCTACCCGCCCCCTGCCCCCCGCACCTCCATCTCCACTGTTTTGCCTCCTGCCCTGGCTTCCTGACCACTCCTCAACCTCTGCCTTCAGTTGTCCCCTTCCTCTGCCCCCTGCCCCTGCCTCATCGGTCTCCTGTTCCTACTCTGAACCCCGCCCCAGGCCCCACTCCCTTCACTGTTACCCCCAACCTCAGCTTTCACCTGCTGTCCCCAGACCCCTGACCACATCCCTGCCACTCTCCCATTATCCCTGCCACTCCCCCATGGTCCCGCTATGCCCCCTGCCTCGAGGATCACGTCCGGGGGCTGTGCATAGTTCCACAGCCGGATCCAGTTCCAGTAGGAGCGAGCCTTGTCGTGGTTGTACGTGGCTGACGTTTGCTCAAAGTCAATGGACGCTCCTGCACGAGAGGTAGAGCGGGGCTCAGCAGAGCAGCCCCGGCTTCTGCCTGGAGGAGGGGGCCTCACGGGTTGGGCACTGACTAGATACTAGGCGAGCACTTTGGACAAGTCACTGGCCCTTTCTGAACCTCAATGTTCTGGGAAACGGGAATCATAATAGTAACAATAATATTGGGTTGTCGGGAAAGTCATGACATTTTTTTCCATGTTTTTCGTTGCAAGAATGTGTCATGACTTTTCCGACAACCCAGTAGTAGTATGCTAGATAGCATCCACTTCATAGGGTTGTTGTGAGGTCAAAATGACTTAATATACCAAAGTGTTGGTCCACAAACAGTTCCTAGTGCAGAGTCAGCACTCACTTATGTCAGCCTTGTTATTATTACTGTGGCTATCATTATACCCATTTCCCAGAGGAGGGGTCTCTGGCCCCTGAGAGGTTAAGCTGACGTCCTCTGACCCCACATCTCCTTGGGCCTGGGGATACCTGGGTCAGCTGGTGAGAGGGCGGGGCAACCCGCCCTGTGGGCCCCACTTCACTTCCTCTCATGCACCCTCACTCGCTCCTGTCACATCCTCACATCCTCACATAGGTTCCCTTGGTCTGGAACACTTTTCCCTCCTCACCAGGTTTCAGCCAAAATGTCCTCCCCTACGCCTTTCTCCCCAGGTCCCCTCTATCCCAGCCACCTGCTTTATTTTTCTGAAGCACCAATTCCCAACCATAATTGGGCCTGTGTTGGTTTTTTAGGTAGTTAGTCTCTCCAACCTGGGACAGGGCTGGCGCTGCTGACCTCTAGGTTTGGAGGAAGGTGAGTGGGTGGAGGAACGATGGAGGCCTCCCCTCCCTGCCTCAGCCCCCATTAAAGAAAACAGAAAAGTGTAGCAAGAAAATCAGCTGGGGAGCAGAGGTTAGCTCTGAGGATGAACTTCCTAGCAGCAGAAAGTGCACAGGACCAGAACTGAAATCTACTCTCTGAAGCGTTTCTGAGGAAACTTGAGGTGGGCAGATTGGGGCCAGGGGTTCCTTACCTATAGACTTTAGGGCAAAGTCTGGCTTTTCAATGTAATCTCCTTGTATCATCTTCATTATTTTCTGGGCCATTTTCTGCTGAAAAGGCAGAAAACACAAGCTATGCACTGATGTGTCCTTACAGATCATGGTCCACAGGTGTGTTCACACCAGGTGACAGGCGGCTGCAGGACACTGTCTTGTCCCTATCTGCTCACCCCTGCCTGTGGAAACTGTGGCTGGTCCACGCACAGGACCACCCAGCCTTTACTGTGAGAAATCCTAGGGGACACAGAGCCATCCTCACCCTACCCATTGGGTTGTTCGCTCAGTGCTTTCACCCACCGTGCAGGGTGTCACACTTGGGACTAGATTCTCAGTGAAGTTAAGGACAGGGGGCTTGGAGTCAGGCATACCTTTACTGCTGTGGGGCCTTGGGCTAGTTACTGGCCCCCTGAGTCTCAATTTTCTCATCTGTAAAATGGGACAATAATCGTGTCCACCGCCCAATGTTGTGACGCTTAGAGCTAAGACGTGTGAAGTTGCTGCTATGTGCCAGGACTCCTCAGCATCACATAGGTTCACTCTTATCCTCTCACAGCAACTGTAAGAGGTATGTATGATTATCATCCCCATTTTAAAGATGAGAAGACTGAGGCACAAAAGGGTAACTTGTTCAA